GCGGCGTCATTGGTGATGGGCTTCCCAAAGCGTCAGCGTGTTGAAGGGCTGGATCATGGGTCCACCAGGGCTGTGCTTGATGGTGGTGTCGGTGTCTGGGGAGGAGTCAGCTGTGCCCTCTGGGTTGGCTGATATGGATGATACCGGGAAGGAGGAGGATGAGGAGGAGACGGAGGGTGGTGTGACATAAGGTCGGATTAGACAGTCTGGAATCAACACAGGTGAGTCTGCATCCTGTGGAAACATACAAGCATCTCCTCTTCCCCAGGTTAAAAGTACATCAGGTCCCTTCCAGGCTCCTGTAAGTAAGTCTTTCCATTTGACGAAATAAGTGAGTTTCTGCTAAATGAAAGTTTCTTTTGCTGATTTACTCAGAGTCCTCGGACTTGGCTGAGAGAGTAGCTTCCACTTCTTGCTTTTCTACCATCTGTTGGGCCTCAGTTGTTAACTTCTTCAGCTGACCCCATGTTGGCACCTCAGTCCCTTGCATAGCCTTTCTTTTCTTCTTTTTTCCGCTTTTCTGTCATTGGGGCAACTCTAAGTCTTTGGAACGATGAGACAAGGAGCTTCTCTGGGTCCATTGTGGTGACGCACGTAATGCATTTACTCAATCCAAAGCAGGCATTAAAAAGAAAAACCCCAAATGCTCTTTTTTTTTTTTTTCTGGATCTTGGTGGGACGCTGCTCCCTGATGAGGGACAGCGCCAGCGCCCACAAGCCGTGGATTATTGAAATTAGGTAGGATAATTGCTCTTCCTGTAATTTCTGAGGACAAATTCATGCTGTATTTCTGATTCTATTTTCATTGGAGAATTTAAAAAAAAAATCATTGTAATTATCTGCTCCTATCCTACCATTGTGTATTAGGTGTGTTACAGGGCGGGGGGAGGATAACTTGAGCATGAGAGCTGTATTAGGTCCTGAGGAAGCTGCTGGAATAACTGCACAGGACTTTAGGCTGTCCCCTTGGAAAGGGGAAGGTATATTTATCTGTGGGAAGCAGGATGTGCTCTGATATTTGGGTAGCCAGAGGCATAGAACTGTGTAGGGCAATGCTGGCTGTCCCTAGTATCTGTTCTTCTTATTTTACTCAGTAATGAAACTTGAAAAGTTAGCTGGCAGTAGTCCAACCAATAAACAAAGACTACATTTCCCAGCCTCTCTTGCAACCAAGTGTGGCCATGTGACTAAACTTGGGCCAATGGAATGTAAAGAGAAGTACTTTGCATACATCTTTTGGGAAGTTTTCTTAAAGAGAAGTATGTCCTCTTTTGCTGGTTTTCCTGCCTAGCATGTGGATGTCATGGCTCGAGGTGAAGCAGCCCTCTTATAAGTCAGGGTGGAAATCACAGGTAATAGCAGAGCAATAGAGGAGTCTGGGATCCCTGATGGTTATGGAGCCACTGTCTTAGCCTAAGTCAGTTTATATTTACCTGATTGAGAAATTTGTATGTCTTCACCACTGTTATTTTGGGCTTTTCATCTAATGACTCTTCCTCTTTCGTTTCCTTTAAACGACTATCTTGTATTATCTTATTGACTTTCTGCTATCTTATATTATTATTACACCTAGCTTATATTATCTTGTTTAGATTTCTTGTTTATAGTCCATCTTCCCTCTCTAGAATGCTAGCGGTAGGGAACTCAATTAGCTTACCCTTTGCAGTATTCTAAGCCATTCACCTTGACAACCATATTCATTGTAATGCTTGCTGCAAGAGAGGCATATAACCAGTTGTTTTGGTTAACATATGATAGAAAAGCATTTCTTGAGTTTTACGTTAAAGTAACAGTATTACTGTTAACAGTTTAACGGCAATCACTGATAGGCTGCTTAGATTAATATTTCCTTCATTCATTGTTTTAGAAGGGACTATTGGGAAGGGGGAAAAAAAACCCCAAACCTAATACTATTCCAATGACTGAGCTGAAGAAGTGGGAGTTTCTTAACATTCAGATGGCATTTGACTGTCATTTAATAAAGGATTTTCCTTAAGCAAGGATACTACATGGCCTCCCCATTTCTTTCCAAGTGATGAACATCCTTAATATCATCCAAGCCAATCATGTTTAATACCGGTAAGTTTTTTTTAAATGGCATATTTAGAGCTAGCATAAATCACCATGCTTTTCAAAGGTGTACTTTCGGAAGCCCAGAATATAAACACTAGATCTTCTTTCTTAGACTTTAGTTTTGTGTGTCCCATCTTGCAAAGCAAATCGACAGTCATTCAGAGGCAGCAACTTCACAAAAGATGTGTAGGGGTTCTCTACAGTGTCACCCACCAAGATCTACTCTACGCTCTCTGCGATTATTTGTCTCTTGTCACTCTTAAAGAGAAGAGAACTGCTTTCTTTCTTGTTTTGATGTCCTCTTATGTAGAAGATATGCTCACTTTCATATTGTGGATCCTGAGAAAAAAGATACCTACTGAGAAGGACTTGCCTGGGCTCAATTGAAACAAAGAAACAAACAAAAAAAACAGAGCCTACAGCCATTTCTACACAGGGGCCTCTCACGCAACCCACACTTCAGGGAGAATCCTGCACTAAGGTGCCCGCCTTCTGCACTAGCTGGCTGCCTGCACCGTGTTCCTGTTATCTGAGCCAGCTCTTATAAGGAAGTTCCTGGAGTAGCATGCCAGCCAACAGGACTGAGGCTTTCCCTGTCTAACTGGACCTGTGCAGCTATATATGATCATCCTCACCAATCACTCAAAGAGTCTCCATTCTGACTGATTAATAAAACTTAAAGGATTTGGAGTCCTCATTTGCATGCGGACAAACTAATCAGGTACTTCTGTCTACATAAGTCAGCTCCTCTCTGGCACCTTTCCTATTTGTGGAAGACTGAAGACTGTGTTCCCTGGCCCCAGCAGACCAGCACAGGGCAGAGCAGTGCAGACCAGAGCAGGGTGGAACTGCCTAGCAGGAAAGGGGCCTGGTCCCAGGGCCCCCTGTAGCAGTGCTGTTCCACGGCTACTGCTGCTTCATAATTGAGCTGTAACACTATTGAGCTGTTTCACAGCTGTGCTGTATCACAGTTGAGCTGTTTGCACTCAATAAAGTTTCCTTCTTCACCGCACACTAAACTGGGAATTCCTGTTGGTGTTGAATTGACACCGACAACCATCAGTTGACAATATCATTAAAAACTTTAGTGACTTCATCATTCATTGCAACTCCATAAGCCATAGCACAGTGCCTATGGCTGTAGTGGCAGCTCTGGCTCTGTGGCACTGGAAGGAGGAGAAGGAGGGGTGGGTGGAAAACTTGTCTCTCTTGTTCACATGTGAACCTATGGTTCCTGTAAAATAGAATGTGCTCAGTAAATATTTGTAGAATGAATGAAGGAAGACTATATTAAAATAGGGTTCGTAATGTTAACGTAAAAACCACTCAAACCTGTAAAGAATTTTTGTGAGTTTATTTGAGCCAAACTGTCGACATATGTCGGGAAGCAGAACCTCAACGAATTGAGATAATGCTCCGGAGAATGGTGGGGTTACATTTGTATTTATACATTTGCAATAAAAGGAGGGACATAGGTGGGTTACATGAAATTCATTGGTGATAGATTAAGGAGGAGGAATAAGCAAAGCAGGGAAACCCCTGGGATTGGATAAAAAGTAAAATGATGGACACATACTTAGGTGGGTGCAGGATCAATTAACATGATGATGAAGGAATTTATGGTATCTGTCCTGGCGCCCAGCACATTTGGTTGTGCCCCAGGGGCTCCAGAAAAAGGAAAGTTACAAGTTTCCCAGACATTTCAAGGGCGTGTTATCATAGATGCAAAAAGACAGATAGGCTCAGTTAAGGTAAAGGTTGACCTTGTCAGTGAAGATACTGGCCTAGGACGTAACTGCCCACCATAACTGCTTTTAGTTAAAGTTTAATTTCAGACCATCCTTTGTGGTTACTTTAGGTCTCTGAGTTTGCAAGACTGCCATGCAGGCCTCCCCTGAGATTGTCAGGTCAGCATGTGGCCCCTTTCGTTCACAATCTAAAGCAGTGGTTCTCAACCTTGGCTGCACATTAGAATCACCTGGGAATCTTTTTAAAATCCTGATTTCTGGGCATCATCTCCGGAAATTCTGTTCTTGTTATGGGATGGGGCCACAATATTAGTAACAAAGAAACAGAATTTCTGGAGGATGAGGCCCAGAAATCAGAATTTTAAAAAGATTCCCAGGTGATTCTAATGTGCAGCCAAGGTTGAGAACCACTGATCTAAAGGTAAGAAGCTCCTGCATTAAGAAACTATGGAACTTAGAATTCCAAGGAAACCGGGAGGTTATTGAAGGTGAGGAAACTGACATGTAGAGTGGTTGTATGACTCGTAGGACACACAGCTCACTTGTCATGACAGTTGTTGGCAAAGCTCTCTAGTCAGGTGTGTACTAATTGGATGATGAGCACTTGTCCTGGGTGCAACAGACAGGACTGCTCAGTGTCCCAGGGATTGTACAGGATGACCTGTGGCCCTTTCCCCAGCAGGAAGTGTATGGAGAGAGCAAACATTTCTCAAGCCCTCTCAGGCCCCAGAGAGCTTAGAAAGCCCAGCAATTGGGAGCAGTGCGGTTGCAACCAGCAGGCAGCCTTAGCTAGTCATTACCTGGCACTCTAGAGAAGGGGTGCTGCCCAGTGTCGTTGTCAGGCTCTGCCCTGGCAACCAGCTTCCCTCCCCAGCTCCCAACAAAAACTTTTAATCCCTTTCTTCCACTACCCTTAGTTCTACTTGGCCGTGCTTGGAGAGGACAAGGACTGTCGTGCCATGTGACCCAAGTCACCAACGTTGCACATCCAAGCCAGCCTTCTGTTTCCAGGGCGGGGCCGAGGGCGGCAGGCGCGTCCCAGAGCAGCGCGCGCACACCTTCCGCGCCGCGCGCCCGGCCGGACTTGGAGAGGCGGGCGCGCGCCTCCGCCGGAGGCCCCGCTGGCGGGAGCGCGCACGCTCCGCCTCTCTCCGCCTCCCGGTGCGCGCCCCGCCCCCTCGAGCTGCGATACGCCGAGTGCTCAACATCCGAGGACTTCGGCCCCGAGTAACCCCGCTCGCGTGACCTTTCCCCTCCATCCCCCACCTCCCGGGGCCCGCCCCCGGCGCCCGCGGTGGTTGGGCGCGCGCACCCGTCCTCCTTCCCACCTCCCTCCCAACTTCGGCTCACCCCTCGGCGTCCCCTCCGCGCTTCTCCTCGTCATGGCGGCGCTCAGCAAGTCCATCCCTCATAACTGCTACGAGATCGGCCACACTTGGCACCCGTCCTGCGGGGTTTCCTTCTTGCAGATCACGGGGGGCGCCCTGGAGGAGTCCCTGAGGATCTATATCCCTCTGTACTTGGTGAGACCCGGCAGCCCCTCCCCCGGGGCGAGTTTAGTGTGGAGGGGTGGGCCCGGGGTGCAGTCCTGCTCCCGAGAGGCTTGGGGGACTCGCCCTGTGTCTGTTTCTCATTTGGAGGGGTCAGAGTGTTGGTTGTTTTTTTTGGGGGGGAGGGTATTGGGGTAGGGGAGGTCCCAAGGGGGCAGATGTCCCAAATCCTACTCCGGGGGGTGGGGAGAAGGGGGAGGGGAATTAGAGGTTGAGCTGTCATCTAAATGCCTGTTTTTGGGGGGAGAGGATGGGCTCCCAAGTCTGGGATTAAGTTTAGAACACTTAAAATTGTGACTACAGGGACCTGCGTAATTTTTGTTCGCTCCTGCCTGGAGGTCTCGGAGAGGTCAGCGAGGCGACGAGAAATGGCCTGCAATCTTTCCTCATATAAAATCCCTCTGTTCCCCCCATCCTCATTTTTTTTTTTTTTTAAGGACGTATTTGACAGCAAGTCCATGTGACCACAGATCTTATCTCAGTTTGGAATGGCAGGGTTGTGGCTTGAGGCTTTTGCACCTTTTCTGCAAGCTCACAAAGCAGACACCTGGTTGAGATTTTTTGCGTGGTGATTTAAAGGGTGTTTCCAGTCTTAGAGTCAGTGAAGGTGATTAGAGTTAGTGAAGTTTATGTCAGCTAGGTCCTCTAATTATTCAGCTTACATGCAGGGCAATCCGAGTTTGGAGTTTTTAATAGAGGATATTTGAAAATATGTGTATGTATCACTGAGAAATGGTAAGGAAGTTTGTTCTTAAATGCTCTCACCAGGATCGTTTTTGTTTTTTAATGCCCTGGTCCTTGGTATTAAAGATTTATTACTTTGGTTATTGATGTTCAGTCTCTTTATTTTGTCGCCCAATAGCGTCTGTGTCCTAAGAAGGCAGAGGTCATGTTGTTGGTGTTTCCTGAAAGTTTCATTCAGTATTCAATGGGTAGTTAATTCTTACCTCTCATTCAGTAATGATTTGAATTTATACCCTACTGTGCCTAGAAATGTGTCATAGCCATACTTGTAGTACTTTAACAGTTTGATTACTTATTACAGAGAAAACACAGGAGAAGATGGTAACTATCTCTGAGATTTCAGAAGCCAGTTTTATTTTTATCATATAGACTGATGCTTTTCAATCTTGACCGTGTTAGGAATCTCCTGGGCAAGCATGTTAAAATAGGGGTTCTGATTTAGCAGGTCTGGGTGGGGCCCGGGATTTTGCATGTCTAACAAATTCCCAGGTAATATAGATGCTGCTAGACTAAGAGCCACACATTGAATAGTAAGGATTGAGAGTGGAGGCCAATAATAATAAACTTGTTATTGGAGCTGGAAATTTAGCCCTTGATTTTCTTTGGCAAAGATTCTTGTTTATCTGCTTTTCCACATGAATGTGGTCAGTCTGTAGTTCAGTGTTTGTTTGTTTGTTTGTTTTTCTTAATAGAACACCTACAAACATTTTTGAGCTCTTGGTATGTTCAATAAAGGTTGTTTCTGCCCTTATAGGGTTATGATGTAGGTGGGGAGAGAGCTTATGCTATGTAATTTCTCTTCTGGAAATCCATAATACTTTTATGCTGCCCTAACTCATTCATTCGACAACTGTTTGCTGAGTGTTTGTTGTCATATCTACACCCTAGACCAGGGGTCCTCAAACTACGGCCCGCAGGCCACATGCAAATACAAATATTGTATTTGTTCCTGTTTGTTTTTTTTTACTTCAAAATAAGATATGTGCAGTGTGCATAGGAATTTGTTCATAGTTTTTTTTTTTAAACTATAGTCCGCCCTCCAGCAGTCTGAGGGACAGTGAACTGGCCCCCTGTTGCCCTAGACAATTTATTGGTATCTTCTATGATAGGGAAGTTCAGGGGAGCAACAGGTATTTCTGTTCTTCTATTCCAGCAGTTGAGGTGGGGGCAGGAAAGGTTCTGGGGAGAGGAAAGGTTTGTGTTTTACTGTTATGTCTTCAACTTAAGTAAATATTCTTGAGGGTAATTCTCCATCTTATTTGGCCTGTATCCCTTATAGCTGTGTATTTCAAACTTTGGGTTGCTACTCAGAAGTGGTTGTGAAATAAAATTAGTTGGAATTGACCAGTATTTTATTTTAAGTGAAATAGAAGAGAAGAGAAAATAATTAGAGTCCATTGCAGGCACTAAGCATAAACAGTATTTCAAGACAGTTTTATTTTAGATATATTTGTATGTGTGGCTGGGGCTACTTAGAGCATATATAGCAACACTTTGCTCTTTATCATTGTTGGGTAGTTGTTGATTACATGTGTAACATCAGGTGCCAAGATACAAGTTGGTAGGGGAAGAAGTGGCCTTTTAAAAGGGATTAGAGACGTGAATTTGAATCTCTGCTCCATCAGTTATTAGCTGTTTGACTTTTTGCATGTTACTTTGACTTTCTCTGTAAGAATTGAAGACATATCATTCATATATATATATATATATATATGTATATATATATATATATAGTTAATCATATATATAGTTAATCCTTACCGGAGGATATTTTCCCATTGATTTTTAGAGAGAGTGGAGGTAGGGGGAGAGGCACAGAAAGAGAAACAGTGATGTGAGAGAGACACATGGATTGATTGCCTTCCGCATCCCGGCCGGTACATGCCCTTGACCTAAATCAAACCCAGTATTCTTCAGTCCTCAGGCCGACGCTCTATTCACTGAGCCAAACCAGCTAGGGCTGTATCACATATTTTCTAGTTCATAATAGGTCTTGAATAATTAGGCCATTTTTTTTTTGCAGAAGATTATTATAACCATGTTTTAGGGTTACTGTGAGGACATAAATGGGGCAATAGTGTGTAGGAATAGCAGCTATCACATAGTAGGCCCTAATAAAGTGTTGGAATTATTAAAATAGTGCATTCAACATAATCAATGTCTCTGTCTCCTGTTAGAATGGTGGTTTGTATTCAGTGCCAGCACAGTACCTCAGTGAGTGCTTAATAAGTGTCTGAATGAGTACACGAGTGAATGAAGGAATAGCTCAGGAGTAAAGAGATATTCCGCAGTTCTAAAGTAGTGCCAGAGAGAATGGAAGGACAGTCTTAGAGGCATTTGACAAGAGGTATTTCACAGAAAGAATGAACAGGATTTAGAGACTGACAATATTAGGGGTAGTGTGCTGACTGGTTTATGTTTCTAGGATTTCAAGTCATTGATGCTGTTGCCATCATTGATAGAAGTTTTGAAGGCAAACTGATTTAGGGGGAACATTTTTTTTTGAAATATATTTTATTGATTTTTTACAGAGAGGAAGGGAGAGAGATAGAGAGCTAGAAACATCGATGAGAGAGAAACATCGATCAGCTGCCTCCTGCACATCTCCTACTGGGGATGTGCCCGCAACCCAGGTACATGCCCTTGACCGGAATCGAACCTGGGACCTTTCAGTCCGCAGGCCGACGCTCTATCCACTGAGCCAAACCGGTTTCGGCTAGGGGGAACATTTTAATTGTGTGTTTTCTGGAGCTTATAAAATGGGTCTTGTGTATTTGCTTTTTGTTTGAAATATTAACCTTATGTTTTGTACTAAACTGGAAGAAGTGGCCTTTTAAAAGGGATTAGAGACGTGAATTTGAATCTCTGCTCCATCAGTTACTAGCTGTTTGACTTTTTTTTTTTTTAAATATTTTATTGATTTTTTACAGAGAGGAAGGGGGAGAGATAGAGAGTTAGGAACATCGATGAGAGAGAAACATCGATCAGCTGCCTCCTGCACACCTCCTACTGGGGATATGCCCGCAACCCAGGTACATGCCCTTGACCGGAACGAACCTGGGACCTTTCAGTCCGCAGACCGACGCTCTATCCACTGAGCCAAACCGGTTCTGGCAAGCTGTTTGACTTTTTGCATGTTACTTTGACTTTCTCTGTAAGAATTGAAGACATATCATTCATATATATATATATATATATATATATATATATAGTTAATCCTTACCTTTTATATTTCTTCTTTTGTTCAATGCACCTACTCTCATGCTTCTTTTTCATTTTGGCATCCACAGCTGTTCTTAGTATTTACCTTATAATGCTTAAGCCATGTTGAAATGTAGATGCACTAAATCCTTTTAATAGTGAATCTTTGTGTTTTCACAATTTGTAAAAAACATCCATCTTCATCATCAATTCATTTCATGTAGTTTTTTTTTTTAAAAAAATCCTACATATGTTGTAAAATATGCTAATATTTTATGCATGTACCAAAAATGTATTTCAGGAAGTTATATTTTGTTTCTTGAATGTTAGTTATTGCCACATACTCACATATGAAACATTTGTTAAAGTGTTTAAACTCTAGCCTGTCACTAAAATTAATGAAAGCATAGTGCCCTCCGTAATTTGTGGCAAATTTAGAATACACAATTGCCCATTTAGGGGGATTCTGTGCTGTTCAAGTTCTTAGGTGCCTTCTCTAAAAAGGAAAACTTGTTCACTCATCTCAGGTTGTTTTAAGGCCTTTCTTACTTTTGCTATTCCTAGGTGACTTAACTCAGGACCACCAGATAAGGATATTGGCATTTACCTTTAGCTAACTCCAAAGTAGAGCCTTCTGCACTTTTGGGGAAAGAATGAATTAAAAACCTGCTTTTAAAATTGACCTTTAGATGTTTGTTTACACCCTTCTTCAGAATATGAATATGTTTTCTTAATATTTACTTCCTTTGAACCTTTTAATCTAACAATTATGTTATATTATAGAGGTCCAATTAATCATCTCCAGACTGAATTAAAACTTAAGTAAGAGCTGGAATTTTTAGGATTAAAAAACGATTTATGGACAGTCTTTAGTTGCTAAAGACTTGAAAACCATTCACTGAAGAAATCAGTTCAGTGATATTGAATACGGTGTTGTTTTTTAAATGTTCTCACAGTTTTATGGGAAAAATGGCAATTCTACAAAACTTCTAAAACTTAACTACACTTTCAAGAGGCTGTTCAGATTT